ACGTACGTTAACTTACTAGCGTAACTACGTAGTGTCGATGTCTATGTNNNACATATATATATATATATATATATATATATATATATATATATATTTATTTATTTATTTATTTTTATTTTTTCCATTCTTCGCTTGGTGATTAAATCTGAAACAGAAAGTAGAAGGGTTTCTCTTTCTCCCTTTTGGTTATCTGATGATTGGCAAGAGCAAGTGTGGGAATGTAATGGATACATGTTTAGTTCCCACAATACAGGTTTGCCATTTCCAAATATACCGAAATTGAAAAGAGGCAGTCACTATGAAAATCAAAATAGAACAGAAGTGGCATAATTAGCTAATATCTATCTGGAAGATGTTTTCTCGCTTAAAATAATCACAACACTTGAACACAATGCCTTGAAATCAAATTACAGCAACATAGTCCAAAATTTGAGCTCTCAATACAATTTATATACACTCAAAACTCACATACATGACTTCAAGTTGGTCCCAAGACAGGTCCCACTCAAGAAAACAATTTGGAGAATGAGACTACAACACAAAATTCATGCATCATGAAAGATTAAACAATATTTAAAATACTCAGACCAAAATACAAGACAAAGGGGGCTTATGATATCATTGTGTGGGATAGAATGGGATAGCACGTCAATGACAATGGTGGGACTATGGTGTGTCAAATCAAGCATATGGATGGGGATATTTTGGCATAGATAGGGCTACTAAAAATGAACTTCTAAACTCACTAAGAGGGGCTTTAGCTTGCCATTATACTATGGGAAATCTCAGAAAATATCATCCAAAATAACTCAAGGTAACTAACTTGAAACTATGCCAAAGATGTATGATGATGAAGGCATATATGGGCTATTCAATTGGGCATGAAATACTCTAGGAAAATCAACATAAAATAAGCAAGAGGGATGAATTACCTTGCTACTATGATGCATTTACAGCAAGAGGAGGAGGTTGAAGATGATGAAAACCTTGATGCTACTAGCCCAAAAGAAGACTAGAAACTACTGCGCACCATAGCATTCTCATACTAAACCATGGGGGTGTGCCTCTCTCTTTTCCTCAAGGGTTTCTCTCTGAACTTGGACCATAGATAAATAGCATTCAAGGGGTGAGAAGGAGCCAAATTCCTTGCCCTTCATCTCACACAATGGCTATCATATGTGTGGATGTGAGTTTGCCACACCCGTATCCCCTCTAATCCTAATTCTTCTCCAAATTTCCCATTATAACATATAAATTGAAATTCAATTCGAACAGACATTTATACCAAATCTCCACCACTGATCTACATGATCAATGTACAAGAAGTGTGAGAGAGACATAGCCCTAGGTGTGGCATCACACCTCTCTTTTCTTTTCTCTCCTACTTTATGAAATTCAAATTTCAATCCTTATGATTCTCTCTCTTAGTTGGCAAGCTTCATATATGTGTCATAACGCACACATATGTTGTCCTAAGACACATGTGTGTCATAAGACTCATGTGTACACATATTTGTCCAATAGAAATCACACACATAAAACGGAGTTAGAAAACCTTGATTTCAATTTGACAAAGCTCCATAAATCATAGAAAAAATCTACATGGCACTACACGTGCAAAAATTCACATCAAAACCATAACACACAAACCAGACATATCATCAATATGCCAAACATCAACCAAGGCACATGCCAATCTAGGCTGTTCACATCACCCACACGTCAGTAATATGTGGTGATGTGGTAGCCACATGGCATCAATTGGTCACTCGCCATTGGTCACTCGTGCACCACGTGTGGCTGTCCTCAATTATCGTGAAGCCCAGACAAATTTTAAAAATTCTATTTTCTCATCATTCTCAAAAATCAATTTTAATTATTCTCTAGCATTTTAGGACAATTTGGCATCACAGAAAAATGTACTTAAGGAAAATTAGGATCCTTTAGGAGATGGAATTCAGACTAGGGCACTCCACTTGGTTAGATCTGCAATCTTGATTCATTTTAGCAAATTAACCCAACAAGACCCATGCCCCACTGACTTTAGCAGGGGCCCATACTTGGCTTATCAAAGTCAACTCGATAGTTGGCTGGACTTCGAAATTATAGTGGATTGTAGGTGCACCCCCAAGGACACACACTCTTGCGGTTGTGGGTGTTCTCTCTCTTAGCCTATGTGCATAACTCTTTCAAGTGGATCATACCTTGAAAGAGTGCCTTCCTATTTGCAGCTGTATATCCACATAGTTTAAGAAGACTTGAGCTCAAGGGTTTTGGCTTATATCCTCTCATGGCCTCGTTTTTTCACAGAGGTCTCATTCTCAGAATAGCTCTCAAGCTATAGACAGTCTCAAATCCTCGTAAATGCTCATGTCGTAGCTCACACAATCCTGAGGTATGCTTTTGCCGACCGTGACTAGAGGAGACCCTCAAACCTCTCGGTCTAAAAGTCCCCTAAGCATTCAATCCTCCTGATTTGGGTTTTTATAACTCTTAAGATCCCAGTTTGCAACGATCTGGTGAGACACAAAGTTCTTGTTCACTCGCTTTTTGACCAAGAACCAACATAGAGTGGTGGGTCAAGGCCTTGAAAGGCCATGATTCCAACAATATATGACTCTAAAAGCAGTAAATTTGACTCAGAATTCTATCTGTTTCTTGAACTGATCATCTTTAAACCATTCTTAATGAATCTCAATTGAGCATTCATTAGGTTGAATAAGTTGTTGGCCATTTGAGTTTATATCTGGAGGTTTCTAAAACTAATGTAAGATTGTTATAATTGTTTTCTGTTTCTTATTTTTGAAGACCCTTTAAGCTAAAGTTAACCCGACTTGAAGATGTATATTGTTTCCAGTTAACTAACAAAAAAAAGGAAAATATTTCTTTCAATATGTAAGCAGTTGTGTTGATTTTTGTGATAGGATCCCACTAGGCATGACTATACTCAACAACCCAAATGAACACAATAATGCCAAACTTTGATCCTCTTTCTTCTTCCTTGTGCTCCAAGTACGAAATTAAAGGAAAATGGTTCTCTATCCTTTCATTATTCGAACTCCTATTTATACATTCAGCACTTTCCCACATACCAACAAGTAATTCAACTTCAAACTAATAACTAATCTATTCAAGTTGCCGAAACCAAATAACTCCTAAATCTTATTTGAAATATTCAAAATTCAAATAGGTAACTATCTAACAACCCATTCTAATCCCTTAGTTATAGCTACGGGTTCCCTAACACCCTCCTTCAAATCAACCTTGTACTCAAGGTTGGAAGTCTAGAAAGTGCTCACCCCTTACCTCGCCGGATCATCTACCCCCTAATCTACATTGCCATCCAGCATAAATAGCTATTGATACCTAATCTACATTGCCATCCAGCATAAATAGCTATTGATACTTACACCTATGGACGTGCGTGAACGTTTTGTCGTAATTATACTAGAGGCACTCGTCGCTACTCTCCTTCATGTCGATCCAAGTGAATTTCTTAATTGCAGGTCCTGCCTTAGAGGTTGTCGGCAAAGGTGGGATATCCTTTTGCCAATTAAATTGGTTTTTGCATTTGAGGCTAAGTCGTTATAGTTTTTCTTCTTGCATCTGTGCGAGGCCAATCATTTCTATCAAGATTGTGGGCTCGAATATCTATAATTGGATGTTATTACTTCCTTTAGATCTCTGATAATGCAGTCGACCAAACCTTTTCGGGCCATTTGTCCACCCAATTCCCATTGTTCAAAATGGGTTTGATATTACTGATCTGTTCTTGTTTGTTTGAATTTAGAGAGCACTACATCGAAATCTATGTATTTTTTGTGGGATCGCTGTAGAGATGGAGAGCTTTAACCAATTTGCCCATGTTAGAGTTGTTTGCGTCTTTTCATACCACTGGTACCATTGAACTACATCTCCTTCCATGTGGAGGGATGCCAAGAGAACATTTTGTTCCTCTGGCATATTCTGGAATTTGAAGAATTGCTACGCACGATATATCTACCTGGTTGTATCATCATCACTAAGCTTTGGAAAATCTAAATGGGTGCATCAGACTTGGATCGGAATTTCACCGTCACCATTGGGAAACATCCCTCCATTTGACGCATCTATCTTAATCATCCTGCTCCAGTTGACTGACTGATTTGCAACATCTTTTGGCATTGAAGATGCTAGCAGCTCGTAATGAAGGTTCATAGCTGCGATGGTCTCACGTATCCTCTGCAGCAGCCTTGAGTGTTGCTGCACTTTGCCTTCTAGCTTATTCATGTTTTCTTCCATCCATGCATGTTTTGAGTCTTCTGGCCTTCTTTGGGTGTACCCAAGCTTGATGCTCTGATACTAAATGATAAGATCCCACTAGGAAAGAGCATACTCAGCAACCCAAATGAATACAATAGTGCCAAAGTTTGATCCTCTTTGGAGGGGATCTTCCTCCTTGTGCAACACACACAAAATTAAAGGAAAATGGTTCTTTATCCTTTCAGTATTCAAACTTTCATTTATGCATTGACCACTTTCCCAACTACCAACTACTTATCGAACTTGGGACTTGTATCCTAACCTAGCTAAAGGAGATAAAGACTTCCAATAGTACCAATTTAAATTAATAACAAATCTATACAAATTAAGAAACTAACCCAAATTGTATAACTCCTAAATCTTATTTGAAATTTGAAATTTATTCAAATTGGTAATTGTTTAACTACCCATGCAAATTCCCTAATTATAGCTAAGGGTTTCTTAACATTCTATCTTGAATATTTAACTTACATAGTATGTTCATTCTTACACTAATGTTATCTTTTAACTTTTAAGTTCTAAAAATGCAAGACGACCTTTTTTACTAGTTTGCTAATTTGTGTTTGCATGGCTTTTATGAAAGACGCTATAGATCTTTGTTACCAGGATCTTCTAAGGTGGGGGTTGCTTCCACTCCAGAAGCTTGATCCCCCGCTCGAAGACATGGGATCTCGATTTTGGGCAATTCTTGATATATTTGCGATCTTGATACGGGAAATCAAGAAACTCTATCCCATGCAATGGGATCCTATGCCCAAAATCAAGGTTCCATGATCAAGCGGAACCACGATTCCACCAACTTGAAATCGAGTGTCGTCTACTTTGGGGTCGAGTTTCACCAGCACGTTTTTTGGTTCTTATATAATGTAGTATGGATCTCCAAATTTTTATGACCTATCAACTTTTCGAATGCTATGATTTTTTACATATTTTGCAATTCGCAGCTTTACACGCCTTGTGAATTGTGACTTGCGTCTAGTCTCAAAGAAAGCAGCAAGAGTGTGCAAGGAGAGAGAAGGAAGTAGTTGGATGGCGATTCAAAATTTAGTTGTGTTGTGGTTCTAGTGAGGAAGGAGGTTGTGATCAATACGTTTAACTTCCTTTGGGCTAGTTCATTGGGTCCTGTCCACCTTCCAAAGTACTATCACTTGTGTGTTAGTCAACCAAATCGAGCCGCTCATAGGTTGCCTTATGGGTGATGGAATAACATGTATACTTGGAAAATGCGAGGTCTCTCTTGTATTTATGTCATTGATCCCTTAGCAATCCCTGATGGAGGAGAGCTATTGGGAATTATATATGGCAGTGTCTTCTCTTTTTTCTTGTTGTTTAATGGAATTCTCTCCCTAATTACAATAAGTAGATAAATGAACTTTGGGAACCTCGATCCTAAACATAGCGATTTGCGATCCCATTCAGTAATGAATTCAGTCTTTTGCAGATATGGATTGCTCCCTAATAGTCAGGGATCTCGATCCCTATACCTGAACATTTTTCGGACCTTGTTCTCCCAACCACAAATCTGAGAGCCTACCTCACCTCGCGCATCCGATACCGATCCTAGAGCTCTTGTCGCTTCCGTTCCTATTAACTATGCTACAGATTTGTGGTCTAACTGAACAAAGCATGGAATATAGTAATGCAGTCTACTCTTTGTTTTTTTTAGTCCAAGCTTTTAGAAATTGGAATTATCTTTGCAGATTTTATTTGGTTCTTAGGGGCTAAAAATAGTCTCCAAGGTAGTTTACCTCCAGAAGATCGTGGGATATTTCTCAGTCTATAGGTGATGGAAAGAGGGCCATGCAAATGATTTTGTCCTAATGCATACATTACTTTATGCTCCAGGATGGTCAACTAAGCCAAAGCAATGATGGAAGCATCACACCTTCTCTTGGAAGAATTTCAGAGCCTTCTAGACATTGGAGGGATGTTTTCTGGTTGGGTATCTTTGTTATACACTTGGCTGTGTTGGGATTTGTCCTTGCAGTACTTGGACTAAATCGATTCAAGAAGTTGGATAGATTCAAAATCGACCGATACACATACAAGATTATTGAGAATGAAGCAGGACAGACAGAGACATATTGGCCTTTTTATGCTTTAGCAGCTGGTATTGGTACTTCGTTGGGATGGGCTTGGTTGTCACTACTAGGAACTCGTGCAAATCAAATGATGAAGATTTCAGTGCACATCTTGACAACTTACCTTGCTGTCATAAGTGCATTGTGTTTCTGGGACAAGCAGATTTTCTGGGCTATAGCATTTGCTATTGGTGCTGCTTTACAGTTTATGTATGTCATGTCTGTGATGGACAGGTAGGGTCTTCTTCTCTTCTATGTTGTTTTGCTCTGCCTTTTTCTCTTTTATCTTTCTTTATATGCAACTCCTGTCCCTTTTCCTTTTAAGTCAATTATGGTTGCCTACTAATATCTCTCTCATGCTCTGCCTTCCTAACTTTTTCTGTTAAAGACATTCATATTCTCTCTTCTTCTATTTATTTTCCTAATTGCGAGGGACAATTTATATGTCTGCTATTATTTATGCTCATCAAAATTCCTTAAGTTCTGTTGTTTATGGATTTTTAATATGAATTTTTAACACTTGTTATGTCCTTTGTAATCTTTTCTTAAGCATGTTTAGCAATCTACAGCTCTACTAGTTCCTCGAAACACTTACCTAAAATAGGACAGAAACAAATTATCACAGTCAGAGGTAACAATTCTTGTGTTAGAAATCCTTCTTGAAAAGTGTGTGGCTATGTAGAATTCCAAAACATATTTTAATTTTTTTTTGCTTTTCTTTATTAAATAACTGAATTTATACTTACAATTGCCACATTACAATGCAGCTAAACTCTAGGATCTTTAACTTTTACTACAAAGTAACATTTTATTAAAAAAAAAGAATTCAAACCTATGAATTCAAACGTACAATATGAATTCTAATACAATTAGGAATTCTAATCTAAGGAGTCCTAGTCTAAGTAGGAATCCTAATCCAAATAGGACTCCTAATACAATGAGGACTTCTAACACAAATAGGAATCAAGAACTGAAAATAAAACTAATAAACAAAAACTGGGAAACTTGCTAGACCTTTACCTAGGGTTACCCCCTTAAGACATAGCATATGCCACACCTGATTACCAGACTGATAGCGTACTTTGATCCGTTGGTCTTGCTGAATCCTTCGAACCTGGAAGCACCTTAGGCCATACCCTCTAACTAAATTGGGGATTAAGTCGAGCTACTAGAACTAGGGTTCTTAGACCTTTTAAACATTTGGGCCATGCCACTATGTGGCAGCACCCCTTAACAAGATGGGGATGGGCATACCCCTATCTATTCCCAACGTGGTGTGCACCACCCTAGAGAGGGGAGTAGAGAGATATATAGAGAGAGACGTCTGAAAATCAGATGCTGAGAATGAGAGTGGGACCCCCTTTATGTAGGCATGGATGGCCCTATTATACCTATCTCAATTAGGACTCAATTTACCCAAAGGATTTCCAAGTAATCTGTGAAGAAGAGAGAAATAAATCAGAGCCATCCATTTCTAAAATCGAGCTACCATGATTAGGAAGGAAAATCTAGGAACCTTTATCCCCTTAACCTTTTAGTTAGACTTGGAACTAGATCTCACATCCAATTCAAATTCAAAAATATTTCAGTGGAGCGATCCACCTAGGTGGGGCGTGTGGCCCATGTGGGCCCCCCACGTGTTGGATCTTGGCCCTTGATGCCCCCATATGGGTCCCACCTCGCCCTTATAATCCTTTAAAATATCATTTATGTTCTTTTAGAGTTTTAAGACTTAAATTAATTTGAAAAGATTTTGAAAAATATTTGAAAATCACAATAACATAAATGAAGCTGAAAATAATATTTTTAATGTTCTTAAAAATTCTAAAACACTTCGAAGTATCTTTCAAAGTGGATTGGTACCAGGGGGTCAAGAAAAGTGATTGGCAAGGCACTCCACCCGTGCTAGAAACCGTGATCGACAACTATCTTCTCAAATCAACCCAAAAGGACCCATGACTCACTGTCGTGGGCATATGCTCATGATTGACCTGTCAAAGATGACATATAAATGGTGGAACCACTGTCCTAGTATGTGGTTTTCAATTCCCTCCTATAAGCAAGTCATATACACATTATTATTTTGCGAAAGGGACTCTCTCTATGCACATGGACACACATCCCTTCAGAGGATTGCTTCCTAGAATGCAACTGTCATATGTACATGCTGTGTGGAAGTTTGTTTAGGGTTTGACCTTGCTTTCACAAGCCTACAAGTACGTGTAGGAGGCTAATAAACTCTTTCAGCCTACAAACTATCCCTGGATATATCTCTGATCTCACCAAAGGATGAATCTACGAAAACCCTCAATGATAGTGCGGCACCTGTGCCCAAGGGAAACAATTTTGTACATGACTCGGGCTATACATGCCTGACCTTAACTTAGTCATCCAACATACACTCCCACTTTCGTAGGCAAGGCCGGAAGCCTCAACGCATCCCATATTTTTTGGAAGCATGACACTTGTATTGATCCATACGAATCAGGGCATTTACACATCTTTCTTATTTCTACCCTGCTTTTTTCTTTCATAGCATCCAATCTTCTTGGACTTGATACTTGAGCTACCTTCGACATTATTATCCCTTCCATCCTATCCCCTTGTTGGCTGATGAAAATTCTTTTGAGAAGATGAATCTTGTAACCTTGCATAATTTAAATTCAGGTTACTCGTAATATAAATATATATAGATGTGTACCGCTACTACTATAGTAAGTTTCATAGCAACACTGGGAAATAAACAAAGAAAAAAAAATTGAGATTGGGAGAGAGGAAACATTATGTGCATTAGAGAGCAAAGAGGAAGAATAAAGGTAAGTGAAGGCGTCTATTTCTCTTCCTTTCTCTTTTTGAATATTTGTTTTCTCTTTTCCTATAACCATCTAATGTTTACCCACCAAAACCACCTAACCTTGTTGGGAGCTCATTGTTTGCAAAACCGGTCGGTTAGATCGGAACCGCCATGGTTCCGACTCCGGTTATGGCCGGTTCAGGGGTACTAGTAGCCTAGGGCATACTTGCAAAAAATTTTCGACCCAAACCCGGCCGGTTAGAGGTCAAACTGGCAATTTTTAAGTGAACCGGCCAGTTTTATGTTAACCGGTCCGGTTAGACGAGATAACGGCCGTTTTTTACGAAATAACGGTAATGAACCCGTTATAGCTGTTATTTCGAAATCGAGGCCGTTATTTGTAGCAGGCATTCTTGAATCCAAATTTTCACTTTTTTTATCTGTTTTCGTGCCTTTTTTTGTCCTTTTTCGTGATTTATTGCTGTAAATCACTATCTATAATCTATAAAACAAGAAATTTGGATTGAAACATAAAAAGAAAAAGAGTTTCTTAGATCAAAATGGCGGATTTTTTAGGTTTTTGAAAATTTCCGCCATTCTTTCAATAATTTCTTCAATACCTAATGGTTCTTGAAGAAATTTGGTGGTTTTGATAGATAATTGAATTATTCATCAGATTTATGTTTCAATTTGTTCAGAAAACCAAATATTATGGGTTGATTTTGGCTCGAAATGCTACTGCTCAAAAAACCTGTAGTTGATAAAAAAACACAGATTTTTTATCTATTTATTGGTCGTTTTTTATTAAATTGAGTTGTAGATTTTTATGATCAATGCTTGATCTCTCAAATAAAATAGGTATGTCTATTTATGATTGATTAAATGTTTTTATATGAATTTTTTCGTTGCACCATATCATGAAAATTTCAAGATCTGAAATTTCCGCCTTTTTTCAATTAAATTAAAAATACCGAATATGTTTTGATGAGATTTGGTGCGTTTGAAAGATGATCGAAGCCTTTGCAATACATGTATGTTTATTTGTTCGATTATCCAAACATTGAGGGTTGTTTCTTGCTCGAAATGTTGCTTAATTTTTGGGGTTTTTGAAAAATCCATTTTTCTAAAAAAAATATTTTGTTTAATAAAATTATGTTTTTTGATGAATACGGGAAGTGTTTTTCTATTTTTCTTAATAAAATTATTTTGAATAGATATATGATTTTTTAATAAAATTACTTTTTTTGATGCATATGGGAAGTGTTTTTCTATTTTGCTTAATAAAATTATTTTTAATAGAATTATGATTTTTTAATAAAATTACGTTTTTTGATGAATATGGGAAGTGTTTTTCTATTTTGCTTAATAAAATTATTCTTTTTGATAAAATGTTTTTTTGATGAAAGTGATTTTTCTTTTTGATAAGTGCATGATAATGTTGCTCGAGTTTTTTAAATTATGTTTTTTTAAGTGCATGATATAGTTATATTTGTAGTGATGGACATGAGACATTTTGTTTTTTTAAGTGCATGTAAAAATTTTGGTTGCCTTATGTACAATGAAACACTACTACGCCATCGTCTTGTATGTGTTTGGTTATTCTCTTTTACTTTTTCTTTTTTTTATCATTTTCTATCAAGGTTTTTGGAATGTTATGGAAAGAGTCTTTAAAAGATCAGCCGATTTTTTAAAAATCGGCCGACTAACTTGGGATCGGTCACTGGCCGATCCCAATCTGGCCGGATTCCAGAGAGAGAGAGAGAGAGAGAGAGAGTTTTACAAAGGTGATCTTAATTTCAAATCATCCCTTACATTTTGAGAAATTGATTTTTTTGAAAAAAATTCATTTTGCTTAGTAAAATTATGTTTTTTTATCAATATGGGAAGTTTTTTTCTATATTGCTTAATAAAATTATCTTTTAAATAAAATTATGTTTTTTAATAAAAAATTGTGTTTTTTGATGAATATGGGAACTGTTTTTCTATTTTGCTTAACAAAATTAATTTTTTTGATAAAATTATGGTTTTTTAATAAAATTATGTTTTATGATGAATATGGGAAGTTTTCCATTTGCTTAGTAAAATTATTTTTTGATAAAATTATGGTTTTTTAATAAAATTATGTTTTATGATAAATATGGGAAGTGTTTTTCTATTTCGCTTAATAAAATTATTTTTTGATCAAATTATTTGTTCTACTGTTCTTGTTTTTTGTTAAAGTCAATGCACAACACACTGATATGGATATGGTAGATACATATAATAACATATAAGAACAGTTGTACATTAATTTTTTGTTTTGTTGCATACCTTGATATGTACTTTTTGTGAAGTATGCCTTATTTAACTTCATCGAAAAAGTATTGTGTGAATTATGCTTTATCTAACTATATGGAAGCGATCCTTTCCATTTCTTGTCTTAATTAGTTGGCATTTTTAT